GGAAGGAAGGAAGGAAGGAAGGAAGGAAGGAAGGAAAGGGAGAGGAGAGAGGAACAGGCCTGGTGGTGCAGTGGTTAGAATGCAGTATTGCAGGCTGACTCTGCCCACTGCCAGAAGTTCGATCCTGACTGGCTCAAGGTTGACTCAGCCTTCCATCCTTCCGAGGTGGGTAAAATGAGGACCCAGATTGTTGGGGGCAAAAATGCTGACTCTGAGAGGATTGTAAAGCACTGTAAAGTGGTATATAAGTCTAAATGTTATTGCTAAGTGCTAATGAAGGAAGGAAGGAAGGAGGGAGGGAGGGAGAGAGGGAGGGAAGGAAGGAAGAAAGAAGGAAGGGGAGAGAGGAACAGGCCTGGTGGCGCAGTGGTTAGAATGCAGTATTGCAGGTTGACTCTGCCCACTGCCAGAAATTCAATCCTCACTGGCTGAAGGTTGACTCAGCCTTCCATCCTTCCAAGGTGGGTAAAATGAGGACCCAGATTGTTGGGGGCTAATAGGCTGACTGTGTAAACTACTTAGAAAGGGCTGTAAAGCACTGTGAAGCAGAATATAATTCTAAGTGCTATTGTTATGTGTTCAAAAGGATGGTAGAATAGAAAACGATAGATGGAGAGAACCCAGGGAAATTAAGGAAAGGTGAGAGGGCAAAAACAGCAGGAATCTTGGCTGAAAACCAGGAGGAGGAACAGACTGAGAAAGGTTATGAATCCTATGCGGAAAGTGAGGAGCAGCTCTTTGGAATGATGATCATGGTTTGTTGCTTATGATGATGATAATTTTTACCTCTTACTTGATGTGAAAGAAGGAACCAAATAGAGTCGCAACCACAATTGAGCCCGAAATTTATGTTGATAAGTGAGACCTTGGTTACGTGAGTTTTGCCCTGTTTTACAACCTTTCTTGCCACCATCGTTAAGTGAATCACCGCAGTTTGTTAAGTGAGTGACAGGGCTATTAAGCGGATCTGACTTCTCCATTGACTTTGCTTGTCAGGAGGGTGCGAAAGGGGATCACATGACTCCCGTGACCTTGAAACCGTCATAAATACGAGTCAGTTTCCAAGCATCTCGATTTTGATCACATGACTGTAGGGATGCTGCAACGGTCATAAGTGTGAAAAATGGTCATAGGTGGCTTTTTTCAGTGCCGTTGTAACTTCGAACAGTCACTAAATGAACTGTTGTAAGTTGAGGACTACCTGTAATCCTCCACTTAACAACCATTCACATAGTGACCGAAGCGACAATGGCGCTGAAAAAAAAGTGTCTCATGGCCGTTTCTATACTTGTAACCGCTGCCACATTCCCATGGTCTTGTGATTAAAATCGAGACGCTTGGAAACTGACTCGTATTTATGACCATTGCAATGTCCTGGGGTCATGTGATTTCCCCTTTGTGACCTTCCGACCAGCGAAGTCAACGGGGAAGCCAGGTTCACTTCAGAACCCTGTTACTGACTTGAAAAACTGCAGCGACTCACTTAACAACGGTGGCAAGAAAATTCGAAAAACAAGGGCCCAAACTCCCCTGGCAACCGTCTTGGTCTCAATTTTGGTTGCAAATTGAGGACTACCTGTATTCTTCTTCACCTGAAT